CCTTATCTGTCTCTGAGAAACCTGTATGCAGGTCAAGAAACAATCATTAGAATTGGACATGGAATGAAGGACTGATTCCAAACTGGGAAAGGAGTATGTCAAGGCTGTGGATTGTCACCCTGCTTATCTAACTTCTACACAGAGTACATTGTGCAAAATGCCAGGCTGGATGACTCGCAAGCTGGAATCAAGATTCCTGGGAGAAATATCAACCTCAGATAATGCAGATGACACCACTGTAATGGCAGAAAGTGAAGAGGAACTAAAGAGCTTCTTGATGAGGGGGAAAGAGAAGAATGAAAAAGCTGGTTTGAAACTGAACATTCAAAAAACTAAGAATAAGAAACTAAGATTGGCAAATAGAAGGGGAAAAAGTGGAAGCAGTGATAGATTTTATTTTCTTGGGCTCCAAAATCACTGAGGACAGTGACTGCAGCCATGAAATTAAAAGACACTTGCTCCTTGGAAGAAAAGCTCTGACAAACCTAGACAGTGTATTAAAAAGCAGAGACATCATTTTGCTGACAAAAGTCCATGTTGTCAAAGCTATGGTTTTTCCAGTGGCCATGTATGAATGTGAGACTTGTACCATAAAGAAGGGCTGAGTGCCAAAGAATTGATGCTTTTGAATTATGGTGTTGGAGAAGACTCTTGAGAGTCCCTTGGGCTGCCAAGAGATGAACCAGTCAATCCTGAAAGAAATCAGTCCTGAATATTCAAGACTGATGCTGAAGCTCCAATACTTCAGCTACCTGATGTGAAGAGCCGACTATTGGAAAAGACCCTGATGCTGGGAAAGATTGAAGGTGGGAGGAGACGGGGATGATAGAGTATGAGATGGTTGGATGGCATCACTGACTCAATAGACATGAGTTTGAGTAAGATCCGGTAGTTGGTGATGAACAGGGAAGCCTGGCATGCTGCAGGCCGTGGGGTCACAAAGAGTTGGACATGACTGAGTGTCTGAACTGAACTATAAAAGTCTTAAAATGATAGTTACCTCTGTTCAGTGATTTAATTTTTCCAAGGAAATAAAATTAAAGATAGAGGATTTATGCGTAAATATGTTCATCAGAATTTAATTCATAACAGTAAACTACTGCCAACAATCTAAATGACTGTGTAGTTTGAGTTAGGAAAAGAGAGAAAATAATCTCAATAGAGGATGATTTTAAAAAACCATTCTAGTATATTCTTACAATTAAATATTATGCAAAGCAAAGGCAGAGGAATCAAACTGCCAGTATCTGTTGGATCACAGAGAAAGCAAGAGAATTCCAGAAAAACATCTACTTCTAGTTCATTGACTATGCTATAACCATTGACTGTGTGGATCACAATAAACTGTGGAAAATTCTTAAAGCAATGGGGATACTAGACCACCTTACCCGTCTCCTGAGAAACGGGTCAAGAAGCAACAGTTAGAATCAGACATGGAACAGACTGGCTCAAAATTGGTAGAGGAGTACATCAAGGCTCTATATTGTCACCCTGCTTATTTAACTTCTATGCAGAGTATATCATGTGAAATGCCAGACTAAAATATTTGATCACATTAAAATGTTTATTCACATTAAGAGTATGTTCAAGACATAATATTAAGGGGAAAAAGTATACTATGTATTCATCAAAAGATTCCAATTTTGAGTATATATGAAAACTGTGTGTTTGTGATTGGGATGAACCTTGCAGGATTAGAAGGCCTGAACCTGCCCAGCTTCAAGACGGAAGAAAGAGCTGAGAGTCAGCAACAGAGACATAATGGTTTAATGGATAGGGGAGCCTTGCATGTCTGAAGCAAGGTCCTGGAGAAACACCGCACTGTACATAGCAGGAGGCAGACAGGAAATGGCAGCAGTCTTTACTCCTGGGGACAGGGGTAGGTCACTAGCTACAGAGAAGTTGACTTAACGTTGGCTCATCGGTTATCAGGGAAACCAGCAGAGTGGCATGCCCCTCACCATCCCTTTAAGCACAGTGGAGAGTTCTTGTCTAAAGCTAGATCATTCCTTTGGGCCTGGGGCAAGTATGTAGGAGGGTCAGTCATGTGAGTAGGGTGTACTTGAGGCAGGGACTGGTCGAGCAGGGAATGTACAGAAAGCAAGAGAACAGTCATCTTGGGTAGCCTGATCATATATTAATACTTATGTACATGAAATATCTTGAGAAAGCACACAAAAAGATTAGCTTATTTGTTCATTCCTTCCGTGTCCATTCATTTAAAACACACATACATTTATTTACTAAGTTCTCTAAAACAAACAGTCATTGTTCTCACCCCATGGGGTAGGTAGTCTAGTGAGGAATATCCATTTACATGTAAGTACAACAAAATTATATGTGTACATTCATTTTTGTTTGTTTCTTAGCTGTCTCCATTAAAATTGCCAACTCCATTATCATAGAGATCCTGTTTATCACGTTTGTCACTGTATTCCCAGCATACACCAGAGTCCAGGATCATAAATATTTCAAGAATGCCCAGAGATTAAACAGGAGCATATTAGCAGAGGACCTAAGGTAGGAGGTTTGAAAACTTTTTTGAGGACAAGTGCCATTGAAAATAAGGTTCTGAAGGATGAGCAAGAAACAGGCAGATGAATAGGGTTGGGAAGAATGTTCCAAGAAGAAAATAGCTACAGGGAAAAGAAAAAGTGTTAGCTGAATTCACTGAAGCAATGTTTATTTCAGGGTGTTTATAGGCAATTTCTTTTTCAAATTTTCTTCAATGAACATGTATTTTGTGGTAATCAGAGAAACAATATTCTGAACAAAATAGACTTAAAATCTCCAACTTTTTGGAGATTACTCTGACTCTAAATGTTTATTTTCTTACTTTGACTTGTTTTTGTATTTAACATACAAACTGAACAAATTACTGTAAATTCAATGTTTTACTCTAGAAATATATTTCCTCTTTAGAGTTCAAGACCTTTCAGGTCACTTGTAATTTTTTTCTTTCTTTTATTTTGTATATTTCATAGCACTAATACTGTGCTGTATAGCCAATATATATTTAAAAGCTGGTTAAATAATTTATATTGGATATAAACAGTAATTGAATCCATAAAAACCTATAATTCTGATCTTATTATATGATGGCTAGTTATTGTTCCAATGACTTTGCAGAACTAGTCCCAAAGAAATCAAAGAGAATTACTCAAATTCCTTTTAGAAACATTTTGCTGAAGAAATTATCTCATTTGATATAAATACTTATAGTTGAATTGGAATGAAAATTAATGCTATTTATTGTTCTAAAATCTCAGAAACAGATGTTTTCATTTCTTTCCAGGATAAAGAGGAGAGAAAATATATTCTTACGGTCAAAGTAACCATGACTACAGTTTTCAGACACATAACAAATGTTATTTTCATATATTTTGTGTTGGTTAAAATAATAATCTATTCTTATATATGAAATCTGTTCTTGGTGAACCTTCCTTTCACACTGCAGCACAATGCTTAAAATTATTCATCAATCCAACAACAAGTAGTTTCAGGAGTAACTATTTTTCCCTCAATGTGGAACATTCTTAAGGGTGTAGAAGTGCCATACCCCAAAACATTTAGAATTGCTACTTTGGCTCCTTTTGGTATTGTTCTTTCCATTCTCAAGAGTGCGGAATAATTTTCAGCTTCACTATTCAAGGCCCACGTCTGAGGGTGGCACAAACATGATGGTGGTTGTTGGGGAGAAAGAGGCATAATACAGTCCTAGTCAAAGCCAGTGAGTCTTGCTTCCCCCACACAACTGGAATATAGGTCCTCATATACATGATGACATTCCATAAATAGAGCAAATAATGTGTACGGTTATTTAAACTAACATCAAATGGACTGAATAATGGGTTCACATTTCCAAAGAACCTCTCTGAATAAGAAGAGCATGATATTATGCCTGAAGACTCTCTCTCTGTTCTTAGTAATACATGGTGGCTTTATTATTATGAGCAAGGCTTTCCCTATCTGAGTGGTTTCAGCTCTGTTTATTTTGTTCTTAGTAATACATGGTGGCTTTATTATTATGAGCAAGGCTTTCCCTATCTGAGTGGTTTCAGCTCTGTTTATTTTGTTCTTAGTAATACATGGTGGCTTTATTATTATGAGCAAGGCTTTCCCTATCTGAGTGGTTTCAGCTCTGTTTATTTTGTTCTTAGTAATACATGGTGGCTTTATTATTATGAGCAAGGCTTTCCCTATCTGAGTGGTTTCAGCTCTGTTTATTTTGTTCTTAGTAATACATGGTGGCTTTATTATTATGAGCAAGGCTTTCCCTATCTGAGTGGTTTCAGCTCTGTTTATTTTGTTCTTAGTAATACATGGTGGCTTTATTATTATGAGCAAGGCTTTCCCTATCTGAGTGGTTTCAGCTCTGTTTATTTTGTTCTTAGTAATACATGGTGGCTTTATTATTATGAGCAAGGCTTTCCCTATCTGAGTGGTTTCAGCTCTGTTTATTTTGTTCTTAGTAATACATGGTGGCTTTATTATTATGAGCAAGGCTTTCCCTATCTGAGTTGTTTCAGCTCTGTTTATTTCAACGAAACTCTAGGATTAGAACCATCCTGGTGAGTGATCTAAACCAAGGAAATGCTCTATATCGTGACAACTGGAAGCATGTGAACATGATTTCTAGAGTATTACAGTTCGAAGGGAATGGTCCTGTCACAACAAAATTCCAAACGGAAGAAGACTGATCATTAATTCACTACTGAGTGGAGAGAGAATTTCATTTTGCTATTTACCCCACAACTCAAAGAAGGTGTGTGGCCTAATGTCTGAAGAGAAATTGAAAATGGGGTAAAAAGGATTATTTTTCGTTTTATTCTTGGCAAGACATTAGAGATGAGATTTTGTAATATCAAATTATTTTGATGTTACAAAAGGCTGAACCACAGAACAAGATGTGGAGGAGGATGGGCACAAGAGAAGAAAGAAAGAAGGTGAGGAGGAAGAAGAGGAGGTAGAGAAAGAAAGTCCTCATCAAGTGAAGTGGCATGGCAGTTATCAAAGAACGCATTAACTTTGGTCGTCAGAGACCAAGCATAGGTAACAGCAGCCAGAATTGTGCAGTTCAGGATTTTGTGTCTTATTGAGAAATGTTTGAAATTCAGAAGCCCAATAAGATAATTTATGAAGGATACCTAAAATCATCTCATTAATGAATGGTTAGGCATCAAAAAGAAACAGATGTTCTCTGCAATAAATACCACACTACAGCAAATAATTTACTCTGAAAATATTTAAGAATTCTTCTCATGCAAATACTAGCATATTAATAAAAGAAAACACTAATTGACTTCAACAAATGAGCCTCAGTTAGAGCAATTCAAATGATCAAGAAGTAATTAAAAAACACGAATTGCTAAACTAGTAGGAGACAACGTTTACAGTTAGTTTCATTTGTTAAATGAGGCAAAATGCACATCTTGCTTCAAAGAATATTTCAAGAAATTTGTCAGTAGAATTAGGATGTAACAATAGCATTTAAATTCCATAGGAATTAGTACAGGGAAACTGCCTACCCTGGCATTTCCCCACAGTTAAAGTGAAGCATTCTTATTCCTAATGACTAATCTTTCTTTGGTCTTTTCTGGTTTACAAAGTGCCTGTATATACATCACCATTTATGTAAGCAACCAGGCTGCATGAGTGTTATTCGTCTCCGCTTCAGAGGCAGCACAGCACACAGGCTTTGATGCTAAAGTCCATGCTCCGTCACTGAGTAGTTTGTGACTTTGGACGATTTATTTAAATTCACTGAATCTCATTTTCCTCATGTGTAAATAGAGACATTTATCTGCCTCATAGGGTTATAAAGATCAAATGAATCAGGAGCTGTCAAGTGCTTATTATGAGTGGTAAACAACAAACTATGAAGTTACATGACTATTACAGGTAAAGTTGAGGTTAAGAGTACTGCATTAACTTTATACAGTTAATAAATAGAAGAGTCAATATTATATTCTATATTTTACATAAAGTCTAGCAACTGTAAAAACAAGCTTTAAAACTCAATCCAAATAAAGTAAAGCAATATGTTATTCCTGAAAGAACATATAGATTCTGGTGCAGACTTGGGCTCAAATAATAGCTCCACCACTTGGGCAAGACACATAACACAATTAGCTTCAAATTTACTCAACTGTGAAATAGAGACATTAATATATAACTCATATGACAATAAAATGAGATAATGAAATCCAAATGGAAGGACTTTATAAACTGAAACTTGATTCTTGGCAATATTTGGCTTTGTTGGAAATATTTTAAGTTAAGAGTTCCCAAACTGCTGTGTTACAGCTGCCAGTCCAATACAGGACATATAGTTAGAAAGACTTTAGCAAGTTTGTTCCCTAATGCAATAGGTACAACTATGCTGACAAACTCTGATAAACTTTTGGTCTGGGGTCATTAGTAAATGATGTAGTAAGGTTATGTGCTGGTGTATTTTATATTCTTTTCCTAGCAAAAAGTAAAAATTAATGAAATGAATACCACATTTCAAATACTGAAATATGCAAAATGTATTTTCAGAAAATGAGAAATTCTATCAATAGTATCATGTATCAAGTGATTTTAGAAAACAAAAAACTATGGTTGTTCAATTTAACAAATTAGCACTGCCACAGCCTAGCTAAGCATTCCACAATCATTCCTTTTACTTTATGATCCCACACATTAACCTATATTAAAGGAAGATTTCAAGTAAATCTACTTGGATTAAAAATGTCCCTAAAACTATATGACCATTCATGACGTATTTTACTCAGCATGACGTTTTTGGGACTCGTCCATATTACAGCATAGTATTACAGCATAGAATATATGGACTTCATTACTTTTCATTGCTGAATAATAAACCATTGTAGGTATTAATATATACAAAAATGTCCCTATATGACACCTTTTAACACCTTAAAATGGTTTGATACAAAACACATGTGCTTTGCACATAACACATGGCATACATCTTTTTTTGTGTGTTGAAAATCATAGACTCTTTCAATCCTACCACTCAATTATAAAGAACTTTCTCACCAACCTTCTAAATTACTTAACTTTTTGTAAGTGTCTATAATCAACACCGTTTGACTCTTTGGGAAATGTTTGACATCAGTTTAAAAAGATGCAAGGCATCTCTGAAATATGAGTTGCTGGGCTCCAAGTTTAGCTGTGAAATAAATTTTGTGCCAGAAACTTCCTTGCCAAACAAATCATTTAATAAACTCCTGGATATGAATAAACATGTATGTTGGTATTTTCAATACATGTAGGTGTATTGGCTGCCTAGCACTACCATAACAAAGCACCACAACTTAGTAGAAACAACAGAGATTTATTCTCTCATGGTTCTAGAGATTAGAAGTTTGAAGTCAAGGTGTCAGTAGGATGACACTTCCTTTAAAAGCTTTAGAGAAATCCCCCTTGCATTTTAGTTCTCACAATACCAACAATCCCTGCTGTCTTGGTTTACACCTGCATGACCCCAATCTCTGCCTCCACCATCAAACGGCTCCTTTCCATGTGTGAATCTTCCCTCTTGTTATACAGACACAAGTCATATTGGATTTAAGACCTATCCTATTTCAATACGAACTCATATTCACTAATTATTATCCGCAAAGACCATATTTCAAAATAAGTCACATTCTGGAGGTTCAGTAAACACAAATTTCCGGGGCAGGAGACACTATTCACCCTAGAACAGTAGCTTTAATACTTATTTCAATCTCTGAAGTATGATTTATCAGTAAAATTCTGTGATCCCACAGTTGTGAAACCAAAAAATGAACCTATGTCTAGCACAAAAATTTTTTCTCAAAATTACAAATTTTCTCATAGATACTTATTACCAAACCAGTTATTACTGTATATAAAAATACCTCTACCTCCTCATGCTTCTGTACTTTAGCCATCTAATTTCTAAAGAAAACTTATTTGTGTGTGCAACTCCTCATGCTTTTAGGAGATTTAAAGACTAAAGTAGATCTTTAATCTGGCTAGATGACTTTGACCCAGGACAGGACAAAAAAAGAGAAGGAAATACCTCTGTTGTTGGGATTAGAACGTGGGTGAGGAAGGAGCTCAAGAGAGGGCAATGATGAGCAAAGAATAGAATCATCCCTCTTGGACAGATCCCCGGGAGCTGAAGGGCTGTGTCGTATGATAAAGTCATGTTTAACTGTTTAAGAAACCACCAAACAATTTCACCAAAGTGTGCAGTTTTAAATTCCTACCAACAGTCTATGCAGGCTTGCTTCTTCACATCCTTGCAATAGTTATTATTATCTTTTTTTTAATTGCATTTTCCTAATGACTAACAATGTGCCAGGCAGTCTGTTAGGTAGTAGGCATATGTCAGATGGCAGCTAGATAGTAGATTATGTGAATAACACATAATCACTGCAAAGCATTTGTTGTTGGGGAGAAAGAGAAAGAGAGGGAGATAAAAAGATAATTCCTCCAATAGTAAATTATATGAACTCACACCATTACATTATATCTTTTACTAAATAGTTTTAGGAAGTTTGAACACACTCCCTCATGAACAGAGTTTTCTGGAGATTCAACTAAATGAAGCCAAAGATTATATTCAAGTCATCAGCCTGTCAAGTATTTCTTCTATATGCCTCTGATCTCTAAAGTAATCATGTAAGACATCCTCTCAACTACTTCATTCTCTTTGAAAGGCATTTGCAATAGTATGGACTACAAAGTAACTCTGCATTTACGCTTCCTCAGGGAAAAATGGCCATTATTATTTTAAGAGAATTTCCACAAAGATGATTTTGACAATAATAGATTTTTCTGATGAGTGATACCAATCATTTTTGATAGACTTTTAAAAATGTCAAATTTGTCCTATAAAATTGAGACTGAGGCAGATGACAGAATCTCTAGCAATCAGCAATCCTGAATGCTTTTGTTAAATAAAACTGAACAGTTCTATATTTCTTGGTTTTTATGATTGCAAAGTCATACAGATGAGCTGCACACATGAATAAGTTTTCTTTAACTAAACATTAAATTACTTTTTCTTTTAAGTTTCTCAGATGACCTACCTCTGAACTCAGTATAAAGTGAAATAGGGGCAAGGAAATGTGGATTTCTGAAATTATGTACAAAGTTGGAAAATATTCTTAAAGGCCCTACCAAGAGGTAGGGAATTACCATCTGAGTCTTGAATCCATAAGAACTCCATTATAGAGATGAGAGTGAATAGGCTGTGAAATTCTATATATAAAATTATAGTGGCACATTTTTGGAGAATTAAGGAAAACCAGATTAGGCATTTTGAGAGTTTCAGGTAGGAGAATAATGATTTAATAGCAAAACCTATGGTAAAAGACACATTTTATTTATTTACCCATTAAGTATTAATTAAACTCTTAGGTACTTAGAATAAAAATAACTCCCTTCAAAGAGTTTATACTCCATTAAGAGACAGTTATGAAAACAAAATACAGTTCTCTAGTTGGAGCTAACATTTTTGAGCCATAATATCTGACAGACACCATATTTACATAGGACTATCTCAATCAATCCTCATAATAAACGGACAAGGTTATTGCCGTTACTATTCTCATAAGTGGGGCAGTGGTAAAGTATCCACCTGCCAATGCAGAAGATGCAAGAAATGCGAATTCAATCCCTGGGTCAGGAAGACTGCTTGGAGCATGAAATGGAAACCCATTGCAGTATTCTTGCCTGAAAAATTCCAAGGACAGAGAAGCCTGGCGGGCTACAGTCCATGGGGTCATAGAGTCAGACACAAGTGAGCACGCACGCGCGCGCGCACACACACACACACACACACACACACACACACACACCCCACATATATGGAGACAAGCTTCGAGTTGTAACTTGCACAAAGTTACTCACACCATCTCTTAACTGAATCAAGTGGCCACTATCCCTAAGCACTGGGGCAGCTGCACTAGGCCTTATCCTGCTGCAATAAATGCAGGAATATTAAAAAGCAACAACAAAACAAACAAACTGCAGGCACAGTGGGACAGAGTACTGGCTTTCCAGAGAGAGTT